AATCAATCAAGCAATCACCAAAACCCTTGGAAGAGGAGCTTCTTGCATATAAAGCAAACAATTCATACAGAAGAGTTTAACATTGAAGTGTTTAGAATCGTAAACAAAAGAATACGAGTTCAACCAGAGACTCATAGTGAGTCTGAAGGTACAGGGTCCCCAAAGTGGAACCCTAATTCAATTTACCAAGAAAAACCCCCAAATTCTAGGGTTTCCCCATCGAATCAAACACAGAAACGACAAGGCAAGTGAACAGACTCAAGGAGTCTCATGAGAATCAGGCAAATACAATGGCGGGCTTGAAACAATCAAAGAAAGGAAACCACTATAAGTCATGAAGAACATGCTCAGAAAAACTTTGGCATTTAAGAAAACATGATTAACAAGAACACGAACATAGTTCAGGAAAGCAAAACATCAAGAAACTCAGTAGTAAATATGCATGGTAGAAGAGTGAGAAAAACAGACTAATCATGTGAGCACACATATAAAAGTAGAAAGACAATACATGCGTAATAGAGGAGGAAAACATACGAGCATAATACAAACAAACATCTAAAAGAAAAGAACAACAAGAATCGAAAGATTTTCAGAAACCCTAATTTTGAAAAACCAACGATTTTGAAAAGGAAATTTGGGGAAAACACTCAAAACGTCAAATATAGCATAGGTTCGACACAGATCTAGGCAAATAAACAAAGAAAGAACCTCGAATAGTTTAGGGTTTCTGAGAAATCCTAGAAATGAGAAGGCGTGGAAAGGGTCTGGTCTTGAACAGATCTGAGCCATAGCTAGGCTCTTAAAGCTCGAACACATCGGGACATGGCCGGAGAAGCCATAGAAGCACAGATTTACAACGGATCTGAACGGAATTTATCGAGGTCAGGCCTCGAAATCTCGAACAACCACGGTTTGGGGGAAAGGAAGGTAAGCACAGGATGTCCATGGCCGGAGAAGCCATGGACTCCGATGAGATTGTTCGGAGAAGACGGCGGAGGCGATTAGGGTTTCGAGTGCTAGGGAGCGTTTGAGAGGAGGAAAGAGTTTGGGGGCGCCTGTCTGAGAGAAATGAGGGTTAGGGTTAGGTCGTTTGGAATTAAAAAGGAAAGGGTTATTTGTGGCCGTTGATCAAAAGGATCAACGGCCTGGATTTAAAGGGATCCCGGGCGGGTTTAGTTTAATGGGTCAGGGGTTGGGTTAAATTGGAATTGGGCTGGCCCAATTGGGCATTAGGATTGGGGCCAATTGGGTTTAAGATTAAAATGAAATTGAGGATATAATTGAAATGAAATGTGGCCAAAATTGAAATAGCCAGTTTTTCCCCTGTTATTTTATAAAAATAGTGAAAATGATTTTAAAAGAAAATTGAAGATGCTGAACCAATTAATAATACATATGTATTAATTTAAAATATTAGAACTAATTTTACAATTAATCGTAAAATATGCCTTTATATGCAATTAGCTTTAAAAATACCAAACAAATTTGTAAAATATGCCTTTATATGCAATTAGCTTTAAAAATACCAAACAAATTTGTAAAAACATACAAAAAATTACCTTAATTATATTTGGTGTAAATATGAGAATAAAATAAGTTATTCACAAAAATGATAATTTTGGGAATAATTATTGGATTTTGTATTGTTAAAATAGACAATAAATTAATTTAAAATAAGAAAAAATACAAAAACTCTTGGGAATGCTTATATATGCATGTATATGCTATTTTGAGGATATTTTGAGTACATAAAAATACTTAGGGAAAAATTGGGTATCAACACCCTTCGCGTTCGCAGAAGGAGGGTCGCGTTCGCGAAGGGTAAACTTGGCAGACCACCGCGTTCGCGATGGAAAGAGTGCGAACGCGAAGAGGAAAGGCCGGGGGTATCCAGGACTTGCTCTACGCGAACGCGTGTACCTTCACGCGGACGCGATGAAAGGGATCTGCAAGACTACGCGTTCGCAAGAGGATGTATGCGAACGCGAAGAGGAAAAGGAAGCTGAGTCCCCAGGGCCAAATAACTCTATGCGAACGTGTGTCAGGAACGCGAACGCGATGAAGGGAAGACTCAAAGCTTCGCGAACGCGGAGAACAAAAAGGAACCTGCAACAGCTGAAGCAAAAACCTGCAATTTTCCTAAGTTGAAATCACTCCGAACACCCCCGAAACACTCCCAAGCCCTCGGGGCTCCTAACCAATCACATGCACTAACTCAACAACATCCTACGAACTTAACCGTGCGATCAAATCGCCAAAATAACATAAAAAACAATGAATCAAACCTCAAAATCACTAGTTTTTCTTCAAACTTCATGAACTTTCAAATTTAGAGTTTTAAGTCCGAAACACGTCAAACGACGTCCAATTTCACCCAAACTTCACAGAAATATCTTAAACCACATATAAGACCTGTACCGGGCGCCGGAATCAAAATACGGGCCCGATACCAACATGTTCTAACCAATTTTTATTTCAATTTTCTTCATAAATTTCAGAAAAATAATTTTACTCAAAAATTCATTTCTCGGGCTTGGGACCTCGGAATTCGATTCCAGGCATACGCCCAAGTCCCATATTTTTCTACGGACCCTCCGGGACCGTCAAATCACGGGTCCGGGTCCGTTTACCCAAAAATATTGACCGGAGTCAAATTCACTCATTTTAATATCAAATTTTTAGCATTTTTCACAGAATTTCATATTTAAGCTTTCCGGCTACGCGGCCGGACTGCGCATGCAAATCGAGGCGACTACAAATGAGGTTTTCAAGGCCTCGGAAGCACGGAATGAGTAAGAAAACATGTGATGACCCTTTGGATCGTTACAATAGATATAGATATAGATAGATAATTTAACTGATTATTTTGAACAAAGTGAAAGATCAGGTATCTACTTGTTTGATTTGAAAAAGGGGCGATAGCTGCCTGTTATATAGGAAGACAGGCTGCATTAACGTGTCGTTCTGTTATGCCATAGCTAAATATTTGAAATGTGTGACCGCTCAATTGTAAAACTCCATCTTGCCATGAGTTTCTCCTCCGCTCAATAATTGAATTAAGTTTTTCTATAGAGAGTGGACAATTCCCTTCCAAACATATGTTGATTAGAAGATTTTGATTTTCTTGGAATTCTTCAGAATGGACACTTTGCATGACGGTGAATTGAAGCCAGGCTATACTTGATGTAATTACGGGTTCTGTTTTACCAAGGCAAATATTTTTTATATATATAATGGTTGCGTGTATGTAGTGTATTGGTCTAAATTTGGACGGCCTGATAACTCAAATAAACAGGGTCGAGGGAAGAGTCAACCACTGCACAACGGCGAGGAGTCGTCTCAAGGAGGATTATTGCCGAGGTCAAGTGAATGTAGCAAGGAAGTAACGGTAGGATAGTTCAGCAGTAGACATAAGGAATATTCCTTTGAATATTCCTTATGTGGTACTTTTTAGGGTTTCTTAGTGATATCCCTTAATTATAAATAGGAAGAGACAAAGAACAAAAGGGGGATATTCACTTCTTAATAAGAGCACTTTGTAAAAGAGTTGACTAGAAAGAATATACAAAGATTGTTTTGTTCACTGACTACCTTGCTCAACATACGTTATTCATTCTTTGTTTGCTAGATCCAAAGATTCCTTATCCATCCTCACTTTCCATCATTCCACGTTGACGTCAGGAGAAAGAATCACCCAAGTCATCTAACATTTGGGTGATAAATTCCTTCTCATTACATTTATTGCATGTTCATGTTATAATATTTATTGATAATCATTGAGTACATACCTGGTATTTAATATTCTCATACATTATTGTTCATCCCGCTAATATCCTCCAATATTAGATCTAGAATTTATTGTTTAACTAAGATTCACCCTGTATTTCATCATTAATTAGTTTAACAAAGAGCTTAATATTTTTTGTCAAACATGTAGCATAATAGATGTTTGATATCATCTGCTAAAAGTTACAATCCATCTTTTTACCAGGTATCTGCTACATGGACCAATAGTGCTTCTGTAGTTTGTAATTTGTACCTTTTTGGTAAAGTTTTTGTCCCATTTGATTTGAGTTCTTGGACTTAAATTAGTATTGAGATTCATTAAGTGTTTTTTATTCAATGAATTAATTATTGCATGTCATTACGAGAGCAAAGAGTTCAAACACCGTGAAAGTGCTGATTCGTTCGTTTGCACTAGCCAACCGTGATGACAATTCCACATATAATATTGTTTATGATGAAATTATTCAAAGGCGTCCATGTAAGTCTGTTTGCGAAAATACGAGTAATAATTAAACTTGTTTGTGGTTTTAAAGATACGTGATTTAGTTCAATACTAATTAATAACTAAGAAATCAGATGTATAGGGTGGTAGGCTAAGGGGCAGTCGAGAGTTCTTCCCTCTTTTATACTGGGTAGTCTGATAGAGTTTCGTTTGTTAGCGGTCTTTGTTGTATTCACATTGTTGTTTTGCATAGTTTTGTGTTATTGTCCTTTCACTTATTTGTTGTGGTTATTTTCTTTCTGGTATCTTTTGTTGTTACATGTTTTTTTCTCTTGTTTCGTTTCGGATATTATTGCCTCTGCTGTTGAGCCGAGAGTCTCCTGGAAACAGCCTCTCTGCCCTTTTCGGGGTAGGGGTAAGGTCTGCGTACACTCTACTCTCCCCAGACCCCACTAATGGGATTTTACTGGGTATGTTGTTGTTGTTGTAAATTAAAGAAGAAAGTTGAATCAAACCAGTGCTTAAGCAAGTTTTGACCTCGAGCTAGACGACCTCGAGGTAGGTTAGCAAGAACAATAAAGAAAAGACAATAAAGTTAAGAAACAATTCTGATGAGTAATGAGCAAGAAAGTAAAAAATATATTCTTTTGCCAATGATTGATTGTGGTTACAAATGATTGGGGTCCCCAGTAGGGGAACCCTAAATAAGGTACATTTCTACTTACAGTAAAGAATCCTATTGCGACAACTGTCTAACCGCCTAGTACGGATTCGTACTGACCCGTACAAATCTATTCCGGAATTTACATCATGATCTTGGGGACGTGGCGAGAATCTTGCGCTTTCTGTTACAAACCCGTAACGGCATCATTTCGGGGTTGGTCATACTCGGCTTCGGTGCTCGCCGCGTACTCCGATCTTCGAGCCTTGTACTTTATCATCGAGCTTGGGCTTGGTTCATCGGCCTCGAACTCGACCCATCCTGAACTCGGGCTTGAAGCGACTCTTCGAGCCCGTGAAATCGGGCATACCTAATTTCGACCGTATACAAAGTCTTTCTCAAAATTGGATAAAATTCTGCTCTATTTCGTCTTCTTACGCATGTATATTTGCTTCATTTCTGATATGGTTACACTATTCACATTTGTTATTTGTTTCTTTTTTGTCAAATAGGCAATGAGGTTGAGAATGGACTTCTAATTGGCATCATATTAGATCTTAATGCTTATATGATCTTATTGGATCACATAAGTTTGACCATCCGCTTATTCTTTCACTTCCTTATATCTTGCAATCTCAATGTATTTAATAATCAGTTGCTCAGTTCTTTAGCTTTGGGTCAGAGTTATTTGTCTTGGTTACTCATGAACAACATGATTGCAGAGAAATAAAACAGCCAGCAAACCATACAACTGCGCCAGTAAGAATTTCTCAAATGACTGAATGAGTATTTTTGAAATACGGGTACTTGTTATACCTTTTTTCTTGAAAAAAATTGAACTGATAATAGAAAACTAAATACCATCCAACATGTGGTGCCTGAATATTTGATATTTCTTTGTGATATCTGAGATGAGACACCAAAATGCTCATCAATATCTTTTTCTCTTTCTGTTGCTTCGCTGGGGATCGGAGATGCCTCTACACAAGGTAATAACTTCTCAAACATTTTGTTTTTTTTCCTTTTTTCTAGGTTTCTAAGCTTTTGTTACAATCTATACTTTAGAGTGGATGTCAATTTTAATGCAAGATAGTGCCCACTCTATGTTACATAGAGGTCAAGTTTTTAAAGGGTCATAGGTATTAGCTAGGTTGCTAGATGAATAATTGAAACACCTGCCTATGTATTTGGCTTAATAAACATGGAGTTACAAGTATATCCTAAACGAAATATGGAATGTTAGAACAAGGAAAATAGCTAGTTAGAAAATCAAGTCAGTTTGGGATTTAGTCAAATTATTTAATGCAGTTATGGCTACAAAAACACAGCCTATAAATACAGAGAGAAACAAGAATGAAATTCTGTAAATATTTTCTTCTCTCAACCCTTTTCCCCTTCTATGATTCTTCCTCCCATTTTTCCTTACTCTCTGTTCGGTATCTTCTTCTTCTTCTTTCCCTTTTTTTCCATGTGAATTGCTAGGATGCATAAATCAAAGTCAATCACGTGAATAAAATATATAGATATGGAGAAGAATATATGTTATGTCCACAATGTTACCTAAGAAAAATGGGATGTTTTTATTACAATTTTAGTTTTAAAGTAAATTATTAGCAAAAAGATGAAAATAAAATAAAGATAAATAATTACATATACAGAAGTATATATGTTAATTGCACAATGTTACCTCAGAATAATTTCTTCTCATTTTCATAGTTACCAGTAACACGATGATATTCAGATGGTAATAACTCACTTAATGCCTTCCCAAGTTCCGTTTCATAAGAGTTGGCAAGTTCAAACCTAAATATAGTCAAGATAAATAGAATAAAACAAGTGTATTTGAGCATCTTTTGTTTGCGCTATTATAAAAAATGGGAGAGCATTATTCACAACGTACCAGTAAGCCAAACACTGAAATGGATCATAACGTTTGTAGATTTGCTGTATTTTGTCCCTTATCTGGAGATTGATGGATCCTCTTTTTCTCCTGTGCACTTTAAGTCCATGAAACTGAAATGAAGCTCATTCATCAGACTCGGAAAATAATGACTAACAAAATAAAAATATGGGCTAATAAGATGAAAATAAATAAATTCTTTTGTCCCGATTAATTTCTATTGACAAGCCATTTAAAGCTCATTTAGGTTGAAAGTAGAATATGCAATAAGTTAATAAATCAAAAGAGCCAAATAAAGTGAAACAAGCAGATCCAGGAATGAATTTCGTTTACCTCATCCATATGACGCATCGTTTCACTATCAATTGGGATGTAACTATAATATCCAGCACACATCATGATAGTTTTAATAGCGAACGGACCAGCACCATTTAACTTGAGCGTAGACCAGCTTGGTTGGGTACCAATGTGGTCTTTTTCAAACTTATTGAGATAAATTTCGCCATCAACAACTTGTTTTGCCAACATAATCAACTCCCTTGCTCTATACCCAAAATTGCCTTTACCTTTTAGCTCTTTCTCACTAAAACTTGCTAATTCTTCTGCATTGGGGAAGTCTCCATAAGATGAAATATTGGCTCTCTTTCTTTTTGACTTGAATTTTTTATATTGTAAATCACACAGAGCCTTTGCGAGATCCAATGATGTCTCCCACGTTCCACCTAAGAAAAGTTGGAAATATGTATCTCTGAAAAACAACAAAAAGTCAACTACGTACGATAACCTTACAGGAACCGTGTTCAACTCAAGATGATCAACTATTACTACATTTTGTTGCATCTATATATGAACTTACGGGCAAAAGCGAAGAAGAAGAGACTTGGCCACATCTTCAAATAAGAGTTCAATAAGAAAAAGAATGACTTTTGAAATTTGGAGTCGGAAAAGCTTAAGGTAAAAACTTTGTGTGGTCATAACATTTGTGTAACTATAAAAGCTTTTTACTAAAGGTAAAATGAAAAATTAAAAGTTTACATTATATGCAAATCTATAATTGTATCTTTTTTTTTTTTAAAACAAATTAATAAGAAAAGTTGTTTTTAGCATCACCAGTTGAACCTTATTTTTAGCATCACCGGTAATAGCTCAATAGTTTATTTTGAAGAGAAAGTTAACACTCACTTGGAAGCTAACGTCTAACAAGTTATTCAATTTTATGAATCACACCCAATACTTCAAATCAACTACAAGGTTCCCCACAAATGGCATGCACCAAACAAAAGTCTGAGCTAGTTTAGTTCTCACATCAATGATTCATTACCAGATTTAAAAAGATAATATACTCTACACTTCTAGGAACAATGAAATATTAAACGAATATCTTATATTAATATCTGACATTTAAAACAACTATCACAAAAGTCAAATAAGTCACCCTGAAAGTAATTATTCTTTGGCAAACTTCCGAAAATTTATTTTTTTGCATTTCTTTTTTGTCTTGTAATTATTTATGTTTAGTAGCAACTTTAGTCGCCATTCAATGATAGCTATGCCGCCACTAATTGTCGAATAGGTCATCAATAATTTTATTGTTCATTTGGCAACCTAAATAAAATATATTTTCACGTGAAGATCATAATACATAGAGACATCATAAATATCATTTTGATCCATTCAATAGCCATGTAGATTATGACTATGTTGTAACACTCTCACACAAGCTCATTCCCACGTGCTTAAGTTTACAAAACATTATTTAGTCATTTATGCACCTGAAAATTTTCAAAACATGTGGTTGTAGGCATGTGTCTAATTACGTCCCCATTATACATAATTTACCAAATAGATAGCCTAGCTATGCCTCTAACCTCTTAAGTTGACAATTCGAATATAATTTGGCTTTAGCCTTAAGCCTACCCATAACGATGCAATTGAAATTTCGGCCGAATATCGACTCCCCCAACCTATATCTATTATTTTTCACTCATTTATATCATCCACATCCATTAGCATCAGCAGTTGGACCTTACTTTTAGCATCACTAGTATTAGCTCAATATTTGAAGAGAAAGTTAACACTCACTTGGAAACTAACGTCTAACAAGTTCATCAATTTTATGAATCTGTCACGACCCAATTTCCCCTCCGTTTTAGTGATGGCACCTAGTCTTAGGGATTAGGTAAGCCCAACATTTTACTGAAGAACAACAATAATAAAGAAAGTCTAACAGTCTCGATATAGAAATCTTTATAGAATATACAATTTCCCAAAACCAGTAGTACAAGTCATAAGCTCTACAGAGTTTACTACAACTTCTAAATACAACTGTTTGGAAATAAGTAAAACAGTGTGAATACAAGAATAGAAAGGTGGCTCCGAAACCTGCGAACGCAGCAACAGGTTTACATGATATAAGTATAGGAATAATATAAGATGATATCAATATAAAGACTACGCGATATGGCTAGAAATACATAAATTTGCAATAAGGAAGGAAACAACAAGTAACAGCGGAACACCATAATAAGGACACAGAAGAGTGAACGGAAACACAGCCCAAATCCGAAATCACAAATACAGTAAAGACAAATGATAATTCAACAACTACGGCAGTTTTCACATAGGCCTTAGCTAACAAACTCCAATCAATTAGTCAAATCCTTCAAATATAGATCTTTCACCCATAAGTTTTCAAATAGAAATCTTTAGAATATAATCCTTCCCAATAAAAATATTTCGAAATATACTTCCTCCAAATAAATATCTTTCAAATATAGGTCACCCCGTGAGACCTTATCTCATAATCATACAATATGGGTCTCAATACATGAACCCTAACACTTGGCATCCTGTGCCCTCATCACACCTCATAACCGCACTAACGGCTCATGTGCTAAATAGATCCATTCTCACATGGAAGGCAAGTAAAAAAGGGTGTGCGTCTATACTCAACAATATCAAGAAAACCTCTTATCCGATAAGGGTGCTTAGCCACGTGTATGCTTGAACAACTGTCTTAACATAGTTCATACCGGATAGTCTGCATAAGGAAAAGAACGGACAACACGTCGAATGTTTACACATGAATTGAATCAATGAAAAACAACAGCTCTGAACACAGTAATAACAAAAGGGGATCTCCCAGGATACCGTCCCGTAGTTCCAAACGTAAATGTGCAGGGGATCTACTGGAATACCGTTCCGTAGACCCAAAGTAAATATGCAGAACAGGGGGGGGGGTCTACAGGAATGTTGTTCTGTAGTCCCAAAGTAAATATGCAGAACAGGGGGATCTACCGGAATACCGTTCCGTAGTCCCAAAGTAAATATACAGAATAGGGGGATCTACCAGAATACCGTTCCGTAATCCCAAAGTAAATATGCAGCGCAACCAACAGAGATAATAGTTACAGCACGGCAGAAACCTCATACATAACCACTACAAGTACAACAACAAAAATGACAATACTACAAAGTACGGCGAGTAAATCAGCTCAAGAACATTAAATCACAAAGAAATGGTAGAACCATTTCACAAGGAATAACCACAGTAAAGAATACTAGGCGTAAAAGGGAACAGTTCAACATGGGAAAACTAATATGTAGCAACGATCCCACAATATACAAGTCAACAATAAGGAAGCCAACACGAGTCAAATAGTTCCAAATAAAGGCAAGTCAACTAAGATAAAGATTATCTAAACTCCTTTTACGGTTGAGCAATAGCGAAGGATATTCAACAATTCAAATATTGGTAAGCAGCAGGAGATAATCATATCTCCAATTACTACTAAACAATTATAGGATGGGATAATAATAATTTCAATTAAAGATAAGCAGTTATGAAAAGATAGCATGACGATAGAAGAGGCAAAATCTTCAGTTAAGTCAAATAAGAGTCAAATAGGCAATAAAAGTGAATCCTAAAGCAATTAATTCTAATTAAAGCATGTAGAAGTGAAACCAGCAAATAAGACCTCGAACGTATCACGAACAACTTCATACACATTGAATATAAGGAGCTAAGAACCCTAAAGGCCAACTTTCCAAAAATAAGTTCGAGCACGCACTCGTCACCTCGCATACACGAACTAAAATCAACATAGAAGACTCAAATCCTAAGGGGAAATCCCCCACACAAGGTTAGGCAAGATACTTACCTCAAAGAAGATAGACCGATACTCTAAAATGCACTTCTCAGGTGAAAAAAGACCTCCGGACAGCTCAAATCCAACCAAAATAACTTCAAAGCACAAATACAACTCATAAGAAACTATTCCGGATCATAAAGTCTCAATCTTTAACAAAATCCAAAAATCGGTCCAAAAGTCAAGCTCCCTGATCAGTGCCAACCCCGCACCACTATCGAGCGGCGAGAGCGGTCGATGCAGCTTTTACCCGAATAGGTCGGGATTGAATCCACAGGGAGCTAGAAGTAGGAGTTGGTTTCCTATCCAAACTAGCAATGTGCAGTGCTCTTAATTGCACTTCCAATCATAGTTGGTCTTTTGATTACTTCTAATATTATGCTAATAAGATGCTAAATTAAGCTAAGAGTAAAATACTTGAAAGGTTATCTAATTGGTTAAAGAGGCACTAGGGAAGTGACTTTCTCCTAAGTGGATATAAAACGGATTCTCAAGTCTAAAGCAAGATTGTTATGATGGGGATTATGATATAACCAATGCACGAAACTTCTAACTCTATACCACTCAGTAGTTTGAGTGATTTTGCCCTAATTGACCTTCTCAAGACCAATTGGGTATTATAATTGAGCAAGCAATTGAGATTCAAGTCGGGTATTACTATCTCTAGGTTTAACCCTGTAATTTGGGCTATCAATCTCTTGAGTACGCCCCAATTCCTTGTTGGACCAATTTTTCTAGACTCAAACTCTCTTTCTCAAGAAGAGCCCAAGTCATAAAGGCACAAATTAGTGTTTGCAACCACTAATTCAACATGTAAAACATAAATTAGTCCAAATATCAAACACCCATAAACATTTAAGCCTTAAAACTCAAGATCCATCAAATACCCACACCAGGGTTGAGCCACAACCTTAGCTAATGGGTCTAGCTACTCATAATAAGGGAAGAAAACAAGAAATTAGATGAAGAATAAACCATAATAATTAATTACAAACTAAGATAATGAATATTCAGCGTAATAGTAGCCACAAATTACTCAAAATGGAACAAAAGAGTCGTTCACGTGCTCAGCCAAAAGTCAGAATACAAAAGATGACCTAAAAATATGAAAAGAAAGTATTTATACTAGGCCAAATTTTCTAGACAAAAATACCCCTGACGAGGTAATGCGGTCCGCACAAAATGCACCGTGGACCGCACTGAGGCTTTTTGGCTTGACTCTGCAGTCTCTGAATCTGGCCACCGTGGGCCGTATAAAATGCACCGCAGCTGCGGTGGCTTCAGTTTGGTCCGCACAAAGTTGCTTGCGCTCCCCGCTGGCTTCAACCTCCATTTTTCATAACTCTCTGAATCTCATCTCCGCGGACCGCACAAAATGGTTTGCGGCCGCGGTGAGGCTACTGCGGTCCGCACAAAATGGTTTGCGGCCGCAGTGCTTGAGTTACCAAAAACTGCACCTCTCTGAATCTCATCACTGTGGTACGCACAAAATGCATTGCAGCTGCAGTGGATCTGTTTCAACTGTGCTTGGACTTCTCCTTGGTACTTGTGCATGTTTCACTCCTTTTTTGAGTTGGTTTTGACTAATTGTCACCTTTTTGACCAAACCCTGCAAACAAGTACGACATCTAAGCTTTTGGGACTATTTTGTATACATTTTTACTCTGAACTCAAGTAAAAAGGAGTGTAAAATGAACTAGAATCCCTAGTTATCAACTCCCCCAAACTTATGCTTTTTCTTGTCCTCAAGCAAATAAAATAAGACCATCTCCTTAAGAGCAAATCCAAGAAAATTCAGTTGACCTAAAGT